AACTATTTATTAAATAACAATATTTCAATTTGTTAAATGATTAGTTATGTATTTATTTTATTTTGATTAAAATAAAAGAATACAAAAACTTAATAACAGTAAAGAGAAAAACATGGAACCGAAAATTTAAAAAAAGGAGAAAACTATTTTAAAAATTATTCAGTTACGTTTTGAAGCTGATATGTTGCCATTATTTATGTCAAGCGTTTTTTTTCTGTTCCATTCTTAACAATTCCAAAAAAAATAAATTTGCAGAAATAGTTTTGTCTTCCAAATTAAACAATCGACAATATTCATAGCTTCTTCTAATCGAATTTGGCATATTCTTGAAACGGATGTTTTCGAAATCCACGACTATAATTTCGTCACATCCATTGGATTCAATAAATTTCGTCAATTCCATTGGATTCAAGAAATTTCGAAATCATGTATTTTTATTTTTTGTTGTTTAGTTTGAATTTGTGAAATCTTTGGTTTGATATTTTTTAGTTTTTTTTGGATGTTTTGTATCCAATATATGATGCAGAACGATTGAAAATGTTTGATTCTTTTTAATATTAAGGACGACATAGTGCGGCCTCCAAAGCACAAAAAACTACTTGGAAGGCCATCCAAGAAGTATCGTGACAAGGCGTACAACGAGTTATATGGGAAGAAGATCAAGAATTCTTGCAGTATTTGTGGGTTTAAGGGGCACAATAGGCGTTCGTGTAGGAATGGACCACGTATTGTTTACTTTAGTTAATGATGCTTCAATTTTATATCTTATTAGAGTGAAACTGTATCCCAATTTCTAATGTCCTCTGTGTTATATATTTACTATCCTGAAATGATTTGAATATGTTTTCACTCAAAATGTATTCATATCCATGTTATGAAATTATTTTATTTTTGTTATATTTAATGTGTACTTACTTTAAGTTTGTAATTGAAAAATTGTATGAGTCATAAAAAAATATAAATACAAATTAGTAGTAAAATAAAATAATACTGAAAATACATTTTTGTTGAAATACCTTTTTTTTAATACATAACAAATATATTGAGTTGTATTCAAACTAAATTGTATTTATATTTCAATATCAAGTGTAGTTTTATTATTATTTTTTTACTTTAAAATTGTATTGTGTTATATATTTACTATCCTATAATTATTTGAATATGTTTTCACTCAAAATGTATTCATATCCATGTTATGAAATTATTTTATTTTTGTTGTATTTAATGTGTACTTACTTTAAGTTTGTAATTGAAAAATTGTATGAGTCATAAAAAAAATATAAATACAAATTAGTAGTAAAATAAAATAATACTGAAAATACATTTTTGTTGAAATACCTTTTTTTTTAATACATAACAAATGTATTGAGTTGTATTCAAACTAAATTGTATTTATATTTCAATATCAGTGTATTTTATTTTATTTTTTACTTTAAAATTGTACTTACTATTTCTCTGGTTAAGTTTATATTACAAAAAATCATGATGTATTTCAATATCAATTAGTATTCCAAACATCATGATGTATTTCAATATCAGTTTGTATTCCCTTATTATAATGTATTCATCACAATTTTATATATTGTGTTTTCATCAAACTTATCTTGCCAATACTACTATGTTTAAAATTGCAGAGAGTATACACATGAATACCAAAAATGTCTTATTAATATTAAATACAAATCATTAAAAAGATGAATAAAAAAGTTCAAGAGTTTTTATAGTAATAAAAACAGAACTTTATAACTTCAGAACAGCAACCATAAATCATCCGGCCAAATGTCTTTTACCAAGCTACAACAAATTGCCAGATTGACTATAAAACATACCGCAAGTTATACTGCTTAACATTATGCATTATATATAACTGCAAAATTATATAAAACATGTACAATATGCACATGAATACAAAATCAAAACTTCAAAACATTAAAATTATGAAGAAAAAAAGTTAAAGAGTTTTTACATTAATAAAACCAAATCTTGATAACTTTAGAAGGGTTCCATAGCAATACAAAAACTAATGTATATTAACTAAGAAGATTGAAAACATACCAATAATAGGCAATGACTAATCTATTCGAATTGTATCATTATCCTCAAATGCTACATTAATACTGCTATGTCGCGGAGGTGCTTCATTGTCACTTATAGCTCCGGCATCATTCTTTTGTTGGCCATAATTTCAAAGAAGTGTAGCGTATCTTGACCGTAGAAATGATGCATCGAAATTGCCTGTTGGAATCCCTTGTCCGTATGATAGGTATTCGGCAAAAGCTAGCATATATATACCGCACATGTTTAAAGACACATTGGATATGTGGAGCTTTTATAGGATGATTTTTGACATAAAATTCACTTGCATGCACATGTTCAAATAAATGAATACATACTTGTATAATTACTGATAAAAAATTCTATTTCTAGATAACAAAATAGAATAAGAGAAACTACCTATAAATCTAATAAATTGGGAAACATAAAGGTGCTGAAAAAATATAATATATTTATACAAACTATGTAATATAAGTATACAACTAGATATGGAGAAATACATTAGATAGAATACAAAATTTATCATCACAAATAATTTATATAGATACTGTTAGCTATACACATTATGAATACAGTAGTGAGTTTGAAACAAAAATAGAAAAAATACAAATATTATTGAAAGTACATTCATCCTATAAAATCAACAATAAACATGCAACCACATAATCAACAATGGACATAACATACAAAACTAATTTCAAAATAATTTAATACCTCTAATTCATCGCCTTGCTGTAATTCTCCATCAATTCGATCTTTAACTTGAACATCAAGGTTTTCAGAACACATAAGTCTTTTATTTTTTTTTGGAAGAGCTCTCTTGTGCCATTCTAGCCGCAGATCCTACGTTTTCGAGCAACCCTTGGGTAATACACAAATCAAATGAAGGAAATTCTCCAAAATTTTGAATATTATTTGGTATACCTCTAGTAATTCTGATTGAATCAATCATTGTAGACAATCAGATGCTTTCTCCAAAATCTAATGTGTATTGATTTAAATTATATTGTATATATAAAAATGAACGCTAACATGCAATATCATTTGCCTTTCTTCAAAAAATTGGCGCTAAGGTGCAAAAGCTTTTGTTCTTTTTTTAATTTTGTTTTTTTTTCGTTGTTGAATTTTGTAACCTAATATTAGAAAGCTTCAAGAGACACTAATTAGACTTTTTTTTTTCATTTCACTAATTAGACTCATTCTGTGAGATAATGTTATTAAAATTGTTACCAGAAAAAGGAAATTGAAGAAAATAACCTCAAATAAAAGAGTTTCCTAATGAAAATACAAGAAGAGAGAGACATCATTAATGAAGATGCAATGAATACGAGTTATGAGGCCCAGCGTGGCCAAGTTTAGGGGATCAATCTATTAATTTTTGGAAAATTAATGGACTAACACACATGAAAAACACTTAAAATCTTGAATTCCTATTTCATGACATCAAAATACTGAAAATGAGAAATTATTAATGAGAATGCAATGAGTACTGGGCACCAGGACTAACTAAGTTTGGGAGCCAACAAAGTCAGTCGACTAATTTTCAGGAAATTAATGGACTAACACACACGAAAAATATTTAAAATCTTGAATTTTTATTCCATGACACCAAAACGCTGAAAAAGAGGCATCATCAATGAAAACACAACGAGTACTGATCAGTAGGCCTGTGAGTGAGGATAGGCCTAACCAAGTTTGAATAAGCCTAATAGAGATCGACTAATTTTTGAAAAAATCTCTAGACTAATACAAACTAAAAATTCTTAAAATTTGAATTCCTATTTTTTGACATTGAAATGCTCAAAAAAGAGATCTCATTAATGAAAATGCATCGATCATTTGGCCTTTAAAGTTAGATCTGACCAAATTTTACTAAATTACATATATTTACATATAAGTATTTTTCTTTTGTTTAGTTACTAAATAGTAAGCCATATATGTTGTACTCCCTCCGTCCCTATTTACTTGTCCATATTTTCTTTTTTGGTTGTCCCTATTTAGTTGTCCATTTTGACAAATTAAGAAAGGACAACAAATTTTTTCCTATTATACCCTTATTTACACTTCTTGGAAATTGTAAAAGTGTATGTTGTTTCCCTCCAATTTATTTCACTTTAATTCAAATAAGTGGTTGTAATTTTGAAGTGAAAAGTTGTCATAAGGGTAAAATTGTAATTTCACTGTGCTAATCATTGTTGCCTTAATCTGTGTGTCATTTCTAAAGTGGACAACTAAAAAGGGACGGAGGGAGTAAAAAAAATGTATTTTTATTTAATGTTCTGTAATAATTTCAAAGTAGCCCCTTAAATATATAATTGAATGATTTAATCCTTTTAAATTTACAAAAAGTTAGTATTCTTATTTCCATTAAATATTTTAGTACACGTCAGAAAATTTTCATCTAAACCTAGAAACCACAACATAAAAATATACTGGACACCAAAAATATATTAGAAATTGCATATTAAAAGATTGCATCAAATTTTTAAAAAATTATAGCTTAAACTACACCTCCAAACATGAATATATTATTAATTTAAAATTTAATAACTTAAAAAGACTAATATCTCAACTTTATTTACTTTAAATTTTGACTCATTCCTACCATGAAAATTATTTAATAACATTTTAAAATAATTACTTTGAACCTACCTAACCAAAACATAAAGGACCAACTTTTTTTTTTAATGACACTCATATAGGATTTTAATTAATCTGAATTTGTGGATTGCAAGACTCATTACTGAAAGTGATACTTCAATCATGATTTTTTTCATTTTCATTTTTAAATCTTCAATTTTCCACGTTGAATCACTAATAATAATCTTGAATTCGAAGTCTCTAATTAAACCAATCGAAAGATCTCACACATACACACTCTCTTGTGTTTTTTCCACTGCTACTCTAATTAAACCAATCGAAAGATCTCACACATACACACTCTCTTGTGTTTTTTCCACTGCTAAACACAAGAGAGAGTGTGTATGTGTGAGATCTTTCAGTTGGTTTAATCACACACAGGTAAAGGGTTAGACAGTTCCCCTTTTTCTTCATTATTATACTTTTATCTTTTTCTTCTTCTTCTCTTTGTTTCCTCTTTAATTTTTTTAATTTTCTTTTTTCCCTTTCCTTTTTACTACTAAAAAACAAGAGAGAGATAGAAAAAGGAAACAAGAACTGGAAAAAAAAAGACTCAATCTTTACTGTGTATAGTTGTTTGTTTTTGTGGTTATACAAAAGTGGCTGCTTTGATGGATCTATAGATCTAACACTTTCAGACCCACATGGATTGTTATGTTTTATTCAGATCTTAGTCATTATCAGTTGAAGGGATTCAGTTAACTGACCAGAAAAGAAAAGAAAAAGATAGTATAATAAGGCTTAAATTACACCACCAAAGTTTTCGTGTTCTTTTTTTTTTTCAGCAGGTATTCTTAAAGTTGTGAACTTTATGTGATTTTGGTGTTGTTTTGTTCATTTTGGGATGTGGGTTTTATTTAGTTTTGGGCTGTGAAGTTTATGTGATTTGTGTTCTTTCAGGATTTGGGTGTTGTTTTAATGTTGTTTTGTTCATTTTGGGATGTGGGTTTTTTGCTTAGTTGTGGTTAGGCACTGTAGTGGGTTGATTGCTTCATGTCATTGCTGATCTTGGAAATTGCTAGGTTGTGGGTCATGCTTAATTTTATTCTCTGTTGTTGAAATTGGGTTTTGGAATTTTTCTGTGAACAGATTTGTTTATCATTGGTTAAAGCTATGATCTTTATTGCTTTCTTTGAGTCAAGGGTCTATCAGAGACAACCTCTCTACCTGTCAAGGTAGGGGTAAGGTGTGTGTACACTCTAACCTCCTCAAACCCCACTTGTGGGGACTATACTGGGTATGTTGTTGTTTGCTTGGTTAAAGCTATGATCTTTCTGCAGTTCTGTGGTTCTTGAAGTAAGTTGTATAGCTGAAGTTCTTGTTATATGCTTGTTTTTTTGTTTGCAGGATAAGAGAGTATAATAACATAATTAAGCTTTTAGTTAGGCTGTTGCTGCATTTTTGTTTTGGTGTTGAGCAACTGGAGGTAGGCAGAAGTGAAATGAAATGAGGGATGTTATCAAGGCTGATAAATTTCCTGAAGGCCTGTTGGCGGCCATCGTCGGATCATTCTGTGCATGCTGGTTCGGATGCAGCTGGACGACAAGATGGACTTTTTTGGTATAAGGATAGTGGTCAACACTTGATTGGTGAGTTCTCAATGGCAGTTGTACAGGCTAATAATTTGCTGGAGGATCAAAGCCAGATCGAGTCGGGTTCATTGAGCTTGCTTGATTCTGGCCCCTATGGAACGTTTGCTGGGATATATGATGGTCATGGTGGACCGGAGACATCACGGTATATCAATGATCACCTCTTTCATAATCTCAAGAGTAAGCATACTAGACCTGTTTTATTGACCAAAGTACTCATTTGCCCAGTATTGAATTGCATCAATCTGTTTGTAGTTCCAAATGGTGTTGTTAAACTAGTTAAATGCTATTCATTAATTTTTTTTGTAATGAAAAAGCAAGGGTATATTCTTTTTAGAATTTTAAATATCTACTATATTAGATTATTTGCCATTTAAATTTGTAGTTTGAATTAATTAGTCTGCAACTTTCTTGTAGGGTTTGCAGCAGAACAAAATTCTATGTCTGTAGATGTAATACGGAAAGCATTTCAAGCTACAGAAGACGGATTCTGTTCTGTGGTTGCAAAGCAATGGCCAATGAAACCACAGATGGCTGCTGTGGGATCTTGTTGTCTGGTAGTGGTGATCTGTAATGGTATCCTGTATGTGGCTAACCTTGGTGATTCCCGAGCTGTTTTGGGAAGGCTTGTGAGGGCTACAGGGGAGGTTCTTGCTATCCAGCTATCAGCTGAGCATAACGCATGTTTCGAATCTGTCAGACAGGAGTTGCATTCAATGCATCCAGATGACCCACATATAGTGGTTTTGAAGCATAACGTATGGCGTGTAAAGGGTCTGATTCAGGTATATCTCGTGTTTCGTGATTTGCGGATAGAGTAGCTTATATGGTTTCTAATTCTTGCTATTATTTCAGAGGGAAACATATGGTTAGTATCGTCTTTAGAGTCCAAAACATTTTATAGTCGATGGATTAGGTTGTTACTCATTGGACACTGTATGCAGTCGCTAGTGCATCATCTGTCCTCTAGTCTTAGCAATGAATACAAGGATAATTATTGCACTCTTTTATCTGCATCCTATCAGATTTTATTATACATGGAGGTTATTTATGAGCCACGTCTTCTATTAGCTGTCTTTTGACGAAGATATGCATTTTAGACTATGTTGCTCGGACTCTTCAAAAATGCCAACGGGTGCGTGTCGGATTCGCCAAAAGTAGTGTATTTTTAAAGAATCCGAGACGGGTGCGGCATCAAAAGTGAAGAGTCCGCGCAACTAAGATTTTAGATTCCTTGAACCAGAAGAAGTTAAAATCTTTCCTTCATTCCCTATATTGTCTGATATTGGAAACTCCTTTTGCTTCGCTATTTGTTTCCTTTATTATGGGGTGGATGGTAGTTTGCAATGACTCAAGTAATAGGTTGATCTATTGCTCACCACCAATTTTTTGTCCCGTTTCTAGCAATTTTTTCTGCAATTCAGAGGAGCAAACACTCATCTTTTTTCTTAAGTGCAATCAGACTCTGTATATTCCACATTAATTCATGATAATGGAAATCATTCTTATTAAACCATCAAAAGATGGAGTGCCAATTTAACCAACAGTTGATTTCCTCATTTGCTATGCTGACTGGATGTGTACTCGCGTGATCAATCGGTGAATGGAGAATTATATGAATGGCAAGACTCGCTTAACCTATGCTCTTTATTGGTAGTGGGAAAGGAGTCTGCCTATTTTCCTAGCTAGGATAGATTTCTTCCAAACACAATTTGGCTGAAATTCCACGAACCCCATGGTTGATAAGTTCATTTACTGACCTGATATGCTATTACAACATTTCAAAAAAAGGAAATTCAGGACGAGACACACTTATCAAAAATAAAAGAAAAAGGCAGATCAATACAAACCAAATAGATGTAGAAGATGCATGAAAAGACAAAAAAAAAGAACAAGAGGAACTTCACTACTTAATTAGTCACCCGAGTAATGGTGCATGTATCAACTTCAAGCAGCCACGTGTCAAGTGTTGGAACGAATCGTTTATTACAATAATGTGCTAAAGACCAGAAAGGTCAAAGGAAAGGCCATTCTTTGTTTCTTCCGGGTGGTTTGGATTAAATTGTAGTTGTACTATGTGCAGGAAATTCTTTGTTTCAATTCCATTTATGGCAATATTTTGTCATTCTGGTTATTATATGTGACAGATGTAGATGTCACCCCCCTTGATACCTATTTGGTTATTTTGTGCTGTTGGAGTTGAGATAGTTAATATTCTTATTAAGAGCTATTAATTCAATTTATGATCTTTTCCCTGTTTTTGATAGATCCTGCTTTATATACCTACAAGGAGTCCGCACAATATTGAAATGAATTTACTTGCTTTCTGGCACCAAGCTATTTATCTGTGTTTTAATTTTAAATTCATCTTGCAGATTTCGAGATCTATTGGTGATATATACCTTAAAAAGCCTGAATACAACAGGGAGCCGTTGTATGCAAAGTTTCGGTTGCGTGAACCTTTTAAAAGGCCCATATTGAGCTCTGATCCATCAATTACTGTTCAAGAACTCGAACCACATGATCAATTTCTCATATTAGCTTCTGATGGTCTCTGGGAACATCTTTCCAATCAAGAAGCAGTTGATATAGTACAAAATAGCCCCCGAAGCGTAAGATTTTTGACTATTTAATACTTTTTTCGTACTTTTATTTATTTATTTATATTTCTTTTGCACATATGAAGTTTACAATTGCAAATCAACTCTAATAGAATTGTATTTGCTGGCTTTAGGTGGTGAACATCGAAAGTTTTAAATATCATGAAGATGAAATGTCTCGTTAAACATATCTTGTTCTTATGTCTTTCCAAAATCATGTTTCATGTGCTATTCTAGCAAGTTATGATGTACTTTTTTTTTGTTTCTTGATGATACTAGATCAAATTGCATTGAGGAATATATTTCCTGTTCTCAATATCAAACCAATATTGTTGTTATGACTCCTGGTATTCACTTATCAGCTAACTCATGTAAAGGGCTCACGTAGTTTCAGGAATGTCCACGATTTGTATAGAACAAATTAACACTCCTAGATCCCTCATTTGTAGTTTATGAAAGGAAAAATATATGTTGCTTGAGTACTTCAGTTTTTATCTTTTCGTCTTTCCATTTTTCTTTGGGGTAAAAACATAGCTTGTTACTAGGCCGTTGCTATTGGATGACGTGTTATTCATGTAATAAGGACATGGTATTTAGATATTCTTGAAATATGTAGTACTTGTATAACAATATCCATACTGGGTAGCTTAGATGTCGAGATATCAACATTTTCCCTTGCATTTTATTAGGAAACAAGGAAATGGTTGCAGGTGGAAGAAAGAGTTATATGAGTGCAAATCCACAAAAGAATATGCCAAATTAACAGATGAAAAAAAATAGTGTAGTAATGTGAAAATAAGAATTTTGAACTAAATTGTTCCCATGTTAGAATGGATGAGTGACCTTAGATAAGAGGATATGAAGGACATAGATTAGGATAGAAGGTTAGTAGGTAGCAGTGAGCTGTCTTGCTGTCCGTTCTTATTAGTAGTCACAGTATTGCTTTTATTGTGCTCCAATTTCTGTTACTACCTGTTGTTCCTTGTTATTGTTTTGTTGTAGTTCATGTTACTGCTTTGGACTGTTTTTCCTTGAGCCGAGGGTCTATCGGAAACTGCCCCTCTACCCTTGAGGTACACTTTACCCTCCCCAGACCCCACTTTGTGGAACTACAGTGGGTATGTTGTGGTTGTTAGAATGGATGAGTGAGTACTTTAGATCCCTACCAAATTCTCGTCTGCAATGTGTTATTATAGTCTTAATTGTGTGGGTTTCTCACATGGAAGGTAATCGAGGCAACTCTGAATGGAAGAATATTGTGATAAGGGATAAATATTAATGTGTTTACTCTTTTGCTTATTGATAGCAATGACATGTTCCTACTTTTCCAACCTACAGGGAAGCGCTCGGAGGCTTGTCAAAACTGCATTACAAGAAGCAGCAAAGAAAAGGGAGATGAGGTATTCTGATCTGAAGAAGATCGATCGTGGTGTTAGGAGGCATTTTCACGATGATATCTCAGTCATAGTTGTGTTTCTAGATTCAGATCTTGTAAGTAAGGCGAGCTCGTTGAGGGGCCCCTCTTTATCTCTGAGAGGTGGTGGTATGAACTTTCCAGCAAAAAGTTTGGCTCCCTGTGCTACTCCCATAGAAGTTGGTACCACTTAAAAACTTTTTACTCTATTGTATACTCTGCTGTGTCCTCAAACTTCCTCGTGAGAGATTCGAAAAAACAATAGAAGGTACACTAATTTATTCTTTTGATGTACAATGTTATATTTAACATGGAACAGGTACCTTGTTTAGTTTTCGAGCAGCAAAAGAAGAACGAAAGAATTTACTGTAGAGATTCTTTCTCGAGTATGAACATGTCTGCTTTAGTTCATATTCCTCGCTTACACACCCTTTGATTCTTTAGTTTCATCTTGTAAATGGTGTAAAATGACAGATGAAGAAGTATTTATGCCTCTTTCGTCTTCTTTCCATTTCCTCGTATTATAGTCGATACCTCAGAATTAGAAAGACAGTAGATGCTATATACTTGTTATCGATGCTTTCATCCTACATCAACACGAGTATTTTGCTTGTTTTTGGAGTAATTTTTTTTGTTGCTTGGTGAATACTGATCAAAGGGATCAATGTTGATTTTTCTAGTGAAATCTCCATTTTTATAATTATGTTATTACCAACTATGTTGTTCAAACTCTTCAAAAATCATGACAGGGTGCATGTCGGATTCTTTAAAAGCAGTACTTTTTTTGAGTATTGACACAGGTACAACAACATTATTGGAGAGTCCGCAACACAGATTTCCAGAGCATCCATCTCTATGCATTTTTCACTGCCAGAATTAGCAGTAGTGTCCCATAATGTAATGGGCTATAATTATGATACAGCACTGGTCAATGTGGATCGAGATAGATAAGAGGTGTAAGCACCATGAAGTGTGAAGCAATCTCGTACTAAATGAAATGACTTTATATCTAGTGGTTTGAGATTATGAGTTCTTTGAATACATTGGTCAAATCGTAGTATTTACACTAATTGATATTCATAGTTTTTTAAAAAAAACTAAGAGTTGCTGCTCAAGATATAAAGCAATAATCATATAGTTTTTATACACCATGAATGTAAAAAATAGATAAATACTTTAATCAAATTATGAATATCTACAAACTATAGGTAAGTCTCCTCAAAATGCGATTTTGTAATTTAAAAAATAAGACAGACTACTTTTTGCTAACAAATAAAGGTGACTTGATAGTGTAAAAGTTTTTTTATTTTGACGTTGTATAGTTACTTCAACCCATAAGTAGGGTGGTGATTGGGCAGGTTGGATCAAGTATGAGCAAGTTGAAAACGATTAATAATTTGAGCCACCCATATTTCAGATGGGTAAAACTGGCTTGGGTGACAAAAATGAGTTGGATTGATGCATATTTTCATGAATAAATCATATTCTATTTTAGAATTCCATATTCTGGTAGAACTTAAGTAATCTTGATAACCGATTTGCAAGAAACATACCACATTACTGTTTATCTATATAAAACACTCCAAGTCTAAGTACAATTCACCAAGATCCAACCTAACCCTGACCAAGGAACTCTGACCCTAGGAACCAACCTTAAGATCGTGAGTCGGATCCCAGGTCTTTGTTGAGAGCCTAGTCTCGGGTTGGGAGTAGGGTCCTAGTCGTCTACGGACTCTGAGTCTTGGGTCAGGAGATGAGATCGGCAGTCAGGTCCCTCTGAACTATTTCATATCATCTACAAGTACTACTGTAGTTCCAAAAAAACAGCAGAACGCTGAGACAAACACTAAAGAGGAAACACAACTAGCATTCCCAACTGGATCAACCTCTTGAGATGTTGAAAGTTGCAAATTGAGATTGATAAGAGTCTTGTCGAATTTAAATTTCAACTAAGACAAAAATACTAGGTGATTTCTTTCCCTCCATCCAAGCTTTAGTGGATAGAGTTACTTGGTACTAGCTCGTGCTAGTGGAAGATACCAATTACCAGGTACTCAGTGGAATTAATCAAGGTACGCTCAAGCTAGCTTATCAAAAATGAGTGTTGTCGAAAACCACTTTAAGTGCAGCAACTAGGTAAAAATATTATAACTAGATACATAATTTTGAGTATGATCCTTTGTCCATTCCTTTACATAAAATGAAGATCACAGAACTAACAGCTGGAAAGATGCAACCTACAATGCAGTTACTCTACCAAAGAAAGATCTTGTTGAAGCCTCTCAACTAAATGTTTAAACTAAGAAACTTGCAGCCTCAAGATATCCAACTATTTCAGTAACAAAAGTCACCTACTAAGCAATTTCTCAGCTAATAGAGCATTACAAGAGGATAAAATTCCATGCCCAGACTGAACAGCGCGATGATTATTGGCTCATCCAAAACAACACACAAATCCGTCTAAGAGGATAAACATATTATCCTCTTAGACGAACACAGCTTCACCAGAAAACTAGTATGTTCTGCAACTAATTAGATAGAGTAAACCTATTCTTACAAGACGTTTGCACGAAACATGAGTGGCTGATACAAAAATACTACTTGTGAGCACTATAATAACTCAAAATTCTTTCTACACAATGGTAATCGACTACAATGACCATACTGGAAAGTGCATAAATGCCACTAAATTACATAGGTTTTCCCCTATATACTGTATGTGATGACAAACATAGAAGGGGAAATCCTTATCAGTAAGTATGAAGAAATTAAATAACCTTATAACTATTTACCAGAGTACAACCACCTATAGATCCCGTCTGCACAATGGACATGAGCCATGTCTCAGCAACCATGTATCGATGCATGGTAGGTGAAACATGTGATGACATTGTGGCAAACATCTAACAGTTTCTGCCAGTTGAAAGTCCTGGATACATCAGTAATCAATCAGAACAATACAAACGGAAAAATAAATAGCTTTGTTTAACATAATTTACCTGTAAGCAGACTGAACACGAGACTCTCTCCCCTGTATCATCCACATTGTTATCACTGCTAATTACAACCTTCGCGATCTTTTCCACAAAATGTCCAGACAAACCTTTTGCCCCACCTGTATCGAAAATGTTAGGCACCTCTTCATATGCAGTTTCAACAGCTCCCATCTGATCAACGACAAGAAAGAGTCAGCAAGAGAGCTTAAGTTGCTGTCAGAATTTCAAATGGCTAGCAGTTATGTTACATGATACCTGATTTTGCACTGCACTAAGCATTGCTGGACCAATCCGTTCACGAACTAGTCTACCACTTAACAAGCTGGCTATTACATCAATCTGCACAAGTTCAACAGAACCATCATTAACCATAAACCTAACAAGTATGTAACACATAGCTTGTGCACCTCGTGCGGGGAGGAGTAAGAAATGGACGAAAAACAAATCTTTAACTATTGGATCAGGAGATTGTTTGTCATCGGAGTTTAAGTTCTATGCACTGGGAATATAAAATATTATCAAGTCGCTTAAAAAGCAGTTGCACATAACTCTACTTAATAAGCATTTAATAGTAATGTGAAATCAAAGGTATATGATATGACATGCTATAACAAGTTAAATTTCTTTTAGCTCTCAGTGTATTTCACTTAAATCCTTCCTCAATGTACTGATATCCGATGCAGACGTTACAAAATTACAAAGAACTTTCAAAAGTATCAGTGTGAAAAGGTGCTATGTTGCTTACCAAGTAAAGAACACATCCAATTCCGGATTCATCAGATTGCCATAGTAACAGAGATGACTCAAAGACCTCAAGAGAGAAAACAGCACCAGAAATGGCTCCAACCGCGGCACCTCTAATAAATCCACTTTCCGTTTCTTGACCTATCAAAGCTCCTGTCATTGCTCCTAATAAGGTGCCCACTGCAAAAAAATCAATGCCACTATTATTACCTTCAAATTCCAACTAAAAAGCAGTCACTTGTAACGTTATCATCAGTTGAAACACAATCACCCGCGAATTTGCAAATCACAACTTCATTCCATTAATAGGAACTGAGAGTCAACTTTCTTATTGCAAATTTTAGAATCTGTTTTTCTTTCAGTCATATAACTATCTGCAATATGAGTTCGACTGAACCTAGTAACTTTGGTACAAAGTCTGTCTTTGTCTTAAGAAATCCATTCCATATATACAAATTATTATAATTTAGAACTAAGTAACTTAAAGGGTTAGAATCCCAAACTCATAAACTTCAAATTCTGGCTCCGCTTCGGGCTATCCGACTTTAGCTTATTAGCTCAAATGACAAACAAAATATTGAATAAAACATTTCACCTTAGTTTTTACTCAATCTATTCTGCTGTAATTTTGAAAATCAAATGGTACAACAGTAAAACCTATCCTTAAAATGCCAAAAATACTACTCCACTTTGTGGCACTATTTCCTTATTAGTCTATTCGGGAAAAAAATACTGTAACATATTTGTATATATATCTCCTTTATGAATAGTTTTTATAACCACATTACACTCATAAAGCTAAAATCTTAAATTTGTCTCTGATTAAAGGCAAACTCAATAATATCATACCTAAATTCAGGGTGAAAACACAATCAACAAGATAGCTAGATTGAAAGTTGGAAGAGAAAAAGTCCAATAACCTTAGTCTAACCCATATCAAAAATGCATAACACAAAATTTCTCTCTTGGTTTGGTCATAAATTTTGAAGTTGAAACTCCAAAATTTGAAAACTTCAAGTTGTGTTTGTATATACATTTTACTTTAGAAAAAATTTGAAATTTTTCGAGTAAAAGTGAAATTTCTCCCAAAAAAACTCACCAACCACAAAAATATACCCAATGTGATCCCACAAAATAAGGTATGCGGAGGGTAGAGTGTAAGCAGACATTCCCACAAGTACAAGAAAACATAGATAATAACATGAGGTCTCGGCTTCGAGACGTCTTTGTTAACAGCATTTTACCTCCAATATGAAACTTTCTGATGTGAATTCGAATTTTGTCAGACTCCAAAAATACAAGACACCAAGTAAGAAACCAAAACAAAAAAGAAACAATAGATATTAACATGACACAAACTCCAACAAAGGTAAAGACAAAAATTGAAGCACAAGAAACTACACAAATCCCAAAAAAGAGATCCACTCAAACAATAATCAAATATAAATTTTCAAAATCTTATCCAAAATCTACGACAAACCCTATTGAATAATCAAAACCCCCCAAAAGAAACAAAGGAAAAAGTCACAATTTAATACACAAAAATTGTAAATAAGAATTTATAATAGTATATACCCACCTAATGCAAAGAAAAATGTGAAAATTGCAGAAAACACATTCCCAATAATAGT